GAGTAATCTGTCCAACGCCGCCTCCACTCACGAAAAAGCTGAAACGTGACGTCTGGTGAGAGGGCGGGTGGGGGTTGAACAGATGCCTTGGGAGCTGTTGGGGTAGCAAGAGTACCTGGAGGACGCTGGTGTGGTGGAGGAGGGAGTGTGCTGGCGCCTTGAAGCGCGCTACCTGCAAGTGAGGGAGGGTGGGTTAGCGCCAGGGTCGCCAATAGCGCCTCAAAACACAACTTTTCCTCCTCTCTTCGTGTCTCCTCCCTCTGAAGTTCCATTTCTCTACGTCGCTCGTCCCGGTCGTCCATCCACCTCAGAATTGTGGCAATGTCCGTCACTGGAGGTGGAGGATGAGGGTCTGCGTCCGGTGGAGGAGAAGGTGGTGGGGAGTCGTGTCTCCCATCTTGACGTTGTCCCTTCTTACCTCCCATCTTTGTGTGTGCGTGGACTGCACTGTTTAATATATAAAGTGGCGCCTCAACAGCTCGAACCACATATATATATGACATAAACAGCGCAGAAATCACGCATATGGTCCAGGTCCACTGTTCTGTCCGTGAGTGAGTGCGTGCGTGCGTGTGTGTGTCTGAGAGAGCGGAGAGTGGTCCGGCAAGACCGTCAGTGTCCCCCGGATGTCGCACGAGAAGGGTGTGCGCCTGCGTGCTCCGTGGGTACCACAAAAAACAGGCCAATGCTCAACTCTCAGCTCTAGACACACACTAATACACTGACACTAACACTGGCACCGTCACTAAAACGCACTGTGACGGCGCAACACTGCACATCGCGGCGAAACACAGCGCAACACAACACAGTATGAGTCGACGCGCATCACCGGCAGACGTAACTGTCGGCATTGTTCACACACTTTGTAAGTCCACAGATCCTACTCACTGCGCCATGAAAGTTACTAGTGTGCCCTGAAGAATGCAGTGATGGCTAGGGAAACACTGAGTAACACTGAGTCCGTTTATTATGGATGAGAGAAATACAAGTGGTGACTCGCGTGTGCCATGCACGGCTCACACAGTCAGACTAAGGCTGCCTTGCCATATGGCAGCCTCGGGGCAATGTTGCCACATAACGTGCAGTGTTGCCACGTGATGATATATATAAATGCTACTCGGCACAGTAGCTTATATACAGGGTTGCTACTCGGCACAGTAGCTTATATACATAACCTACAGTAAGTACCGATGGACGTAAGTCCAAACAGTCGTAAGTAGGGGAGCACCTGTACTGTATGTATGTTGTGTTGTCAAAGTAAGAGAAACAATTGAAACTCTGCAATTGAGTGTAAATGAGGCAGAAAGTCAGATGAGCAACCTGGGACTTGGTCACAATTTTCGTGATGCCATATGGAAGCAGGGTCTACCATTAGAGAATACATTATGCTTTCAATATCTTCCCAGGCAGTAGTATCTCAGTGTTTGGTAGCTGCCTACTACCTACACAACTTTTAGTAATATCACTTTGATACAACAGGATAAATTAGACAAACAATGAAAATAAACAAACAAAATTTAAATTACCAAGACCCTTCCCATTGGCCACTGTAAGAGGGGGAGATAGGGCTATTTTTAGCCCGTCTTTGTGTCTCAAGTGGCCAGTAATGCACACCGGTATATTTACTGATCATAATACTTATCTCCTATAAATAATTCATTTAATATTTATTTTTTTACAATGAATATTCAGTAAATGGCTGCGATAATTCTTGAAACTAATGCAAATAAAATAAAGTCTAAATGAATTATTTATGGGAAATACGTATTATGATCAGTAAAGAAATGCATTATTGGCCAACTCGGACACAAAGGCAAGCGGGAAAATGACCCTTAAAAGTGAGTAGTGACAGCGAGCGCTGGATGTAAAAAAAAAACTTTCCCTTTTTTGTCTCGTCACTGGCAAATGAGGGCCGTGCGTGATGATAGCTGCATTTATTACCGGGGTATGTTGTTATTTTACAGTATGTTAGACAGGTTTGTAATACATTTTTATTATTTTAATATACCAGTAATCTTATTTTTAATCCAGCTTCCCAAACATAAGTTTCAGTATAAAATAATTAGTGGTAGGACCGTGTGAGTGGTTTACGATGTTCTCCATCACCACTCTTGACACGCTAAACCACAATATGTAAGAGGTAAGAATTTTATACCTGGTATTTAAGACGACCCCTAATTTTGGGCTGATTCTTTTAAGGTTCAAATTCCGTCTTATAGGCCATGATATACAGTATTTATCGTTTTTATACATTTAGTACAATCACTGGAAGATTCGGACAATCGGCCTTTTCGGACAGGTCCCCTTTTAGTCCGGATCTTCAAGGGTTCACTGTATCTGATTTTACCCTTGCATTCTTATCAATTTTCAAAATCCAACTTCTCCATAACTTCTCACTAGATTATGTTTAAACTCACGTGGAATATAGGTAATTTACTCTTCTTCAACTTAACATATAGATATTTCTCATTATCGCTCTCGTATTGGGTGCACGAATTTTTTTCCTAACTTACCAATTTTTCCTCCAAATATTTAAAAAGAAAATCAGCAAATAATAAACCAAGCCAATTACAGTGGTCCCTCGGTTAACGAACACAATTCGTTCCACGGAGTCATTCGTTAACCGAATCTATATTTCAATGGGATATTGGGTAATTGGTTCCAACTCACAGTAAAAGTGCATACAAAGTAAAGCCATATACCAGTAATAGAATAAACAAAACATTAAATATAAACTACCGGTAAATACAGTACTGTACTGTACAATGTACAGTACAATAATAAATAAAAAACAATAGAATACTGTATTTTAACTTACTTTGAGGTGTGTATGTCGTATTACCGGCAGCTTTGTTTACATATCAAACAGCTGATTGTACAGTAGAGGCAGTCGATGATGATATGCCATATTCTTTACAGAGTGCATTGGTTCTAATGCATTCTTCGTGTTTCATAATTTCTGCACCGGATATTATCAATATGTTACCGTAACTAAATTTCAGAATGACCAATAATTTTAATATAAAAAATGCAGAAATATTCAAGAGACCAACTTTCTTGATATTTACTTCACTGGAAGCGAATGTAAACATAGAACCAATTACTGTATTGGCGGACTAGCCGATCAGCCGATGCGCACAACAAAACGCGTTTGTCGTAAGGATTTCATTAATCGAACTGAAAATCCTTATGGGAGCTAATTCGTTAACCGAAATTTCGTTAATCGAACCGTTCGTTAACCGAGGGACCACCGTGTAAAGAAAATCTATATAATGGGCCAGGCACAGTACAGTAGGGCCTTCCCATCCGCGGGTTTGCGGTTCTCGATTTTGATGATTTACAGTAAGAAGAAGGTGGCTATGAAGGCTAGCTTACAAGTTTTTTCCCGCAGCACAACGAGTCACCCCACGCAGCATCTCGTGTTGTACTCTCAAAACGTAGGTGTTTCTGTGTGAAATGGCCCCTAAAAGACTGCCTAGTGTCAATGCTAGTGGAGTGAAATGTAAAAGGCAGAAGCCAGTGAAGACCCTGACAAAGAAAGTTTTATTATTAGATAAGTTAAAGAAGAGGATGAGTGCTGCTGCCCTGGCTGGTCAGTTGTTTGGTACAGTAGTGCACTAAGGTAGTATAAGATGCTGTTTGCGCCATTCCTTGGCACCTATCCCTCACGAATAACAAGGGTTTACTGTGTATGTTATTCTACTACAGTACTTAGTTTTTGTTTTATTGGAATCGACCCCTAAATGGCTGAGCCTTAGGGATTTGAAGATTAGAAAAACTCATGCTGAGATACACGCCGATAAAGGTGGCGTGAGAGCAAACCTCACTCTCGCATGTTTGATGGGTCACTGACTCTCGTGACGACGTTCTTCTGTGGTTAGCTCGCTGAGAAAGGTGCCAGATACTGATTTTAACCAAGTGATTGGTATTACTTTACACCAAAATATTATTGTAAATATTTTACTACAGCTTGTCCTATGTAAACAGAAGGCCCCCTAAATGAAGGGGGGGGGGGGCAATCACGCATAGCTACATAAGTATTACGAATTACACAAAAAAATATGTCAGCATTTATCCATAGGCAACAGCTTTCCTCAGGAATTTTTCTGAATATTTTCGCAATTTTCCGATTTTTGTCTTATTTTCAACTGGACGCTCCCCTTAAGCTAGGATTCCATTCACGCGGTTGCGATAGCGCCCAAAAAGATCATACTGAAATGTACATAGTTGTTTCCATTGGTATGGCATGAATGCGTTAGCGTTATGCGCTTCCAGTACATTTCAATCGGTCCATGTAGCGATTGAAAACGCAACTGCACGGAAACGGACGAGGGGCTCCCACACTGTGACGTCACTAGGTCTTGCTATAGCTATGCAGTTCACAAATAAGTAATGGGAAATTAGACCAACTAAACAACTTAATTTTATACAGCCTTTATCTGCTGTGTTCTTAGAAAATTAGTAACTGTTTCATCAGTTCACTCAGTATATATCCCAAACAAAAATACCTATTTGTGTAATGCATTTAGAAACCTCGTAAGTGGTCTTTAATCAGGTAAATAAGTATATATCATTTTACTATATCCATACATTTTTGACGCATTTGTTCTAAAATTAAAATTCATGGTCTCGATAAAAGGGTTTTTTGGAATATAAATGATCTTATGCAAAACCAGGATAATTAATAGCAAATCATCCAGTTCATATAAATAGCGCCATAACTTCAATGGGCTGGGAGCCATTTTTCCTGTCCTGTTCCAGCTGTATAGACAGATTATGCAACTGCAACAGGAAACAGGGGTGTCCATTTTCCAAGGCAATTTAACACAAAGGCATACTGTATATGGAATCCTAGCATTAGACAAATTAGTGTATTGCTGCCCATCACTGACTATACTGTATACCCATTGACAACTTGTAATTCTACCAACCCTTCCAATTCATCAAAAAGTCTCTGCATAGCAACTTAATATTCTTAAGCACAAAAAAAAGATGCAAGAATTCATGGGTGATTATTAGAGAACCCACCTTTTGAGCTGACAATCTGGCCATGAGGATTTTCCAAGCATCACCCACATTGCTGTCATATTTCCAACATAGCAGGAATTTTTGTTCACTCTGTAAGTAAAAAATAAAATAAAAATAAAAGACATAGTAAAGTTTATTTCAATATACAGTTTTGAAAGCAGAGAATGTAACTAAAGTATGATACATGGAGGCAGATCCCAGGTTATCTTCTTGAATCTCATAAACTGATTCATATTTACCCAAACACTTTCATTATAAAACAAGGAGGAAAAAAGAGGAGAAACGAGGTTCAGGAATAACCTCCACATAACATCCTAATATAGAAGACAAAAATTGTTTACCCCAAATTCCCAAAGCCAAAAAGATCTGAGAACCGAAGAAATTTCGAGACAGTAAAAGTGATGTTCGTTGGGGTAGATTGTAAGGCTGTCAGTTTAGTATTGTACTGGAAATGCAGTAAATCCCCAAGGGTCAGGACCCCATAAGTCCGGACCTTTTCCGAGCAAGAAACATTCGTCCAAACCCAAAAATGTTTGTTGTCAGAAATTCCTCAAGTGGCCATTTGAAATTGCCAGCAGCCATCAATCCCTTGCACACTTTCTTCCTCTCGGACCTGTGAATCAGCAGTTTTAGTCCCCCAATCTTAAAATAAACTCGTCCATAATGCTGCACTGTGATTGGTTAGCTATAAGTTCAACACACATTAATCCAGAGAAAAATGGTATGAATTTAGGTAACAAAATTCAAACAATGGTGATGGTAATCCTCCTGGGAAGGGATAAAAAATCTACTACTACTACTTTGCTGTCACTCGGAATAGAGTATCACGATCATCCAGCTATGATAAAATTATATAAGTCATTAGGGATGACACCTTTGGTGCTGAGCACTGAGGAGACTAAAGAGGCCGATATGGGACGGCATGGTCGTCCACAGATGTTGCACATATGGAGGGCTACATCTAGTGTGGGAGGGGCGGTGGCAGTGTCTTTCTGGCATTGGGACTTGTCTGCCTCAGTATGCAGTCGGGCTAACACGAAAGTATTGACACCTTCTCGTGTGGTGCTCCTCCAAGCGTTACGGCGTGGAGTGATTGTCTCCCAGGTGAAGGGGTCGATTTGGCACTTTTTCAGGTTTGTCTTAAGACTATCCTTATACCTTTTCAGTTGCCCGCCAGAGTTACGTTTACCATTCGTAAAGTAGCTGCTTTGGCAGTCTACTGTCGTTCATGTGGGTAACATGGCCAGTCCAATGTAGTTGTTCATGGGTAATGATAGCCTCGATGCTCCTGCAGTTGGTATCAGCAAGAATACTGGCATTTATTCTATTGTTTTCCCAGCGAACTCGGAGGATGGAACGTAGACTACGTTTGTGAAAGTTTTCAAATGCCTTGAAGTGCCTCCTGCATGTGACCCATGCCTCGCTGCCATATAGCAGGGTGGGAAGGACCACTTGTTTCGATGTATGTGCAACTTTGAAGATAATTGCAGGTCCCTACAGCTGAAGACACAGGTACGGAGTCTGCCAAAGGCTTGAGATGCACATCTGATCCGATGCTGAATCTCTTCATTTATGTCCACGGTGGTGGACAGGTGGGAGCCGAGATACTGGAAGTGGGTAACATTAGAGAGGGTGGTACAGTTAAGATGAATGGATGGTGGAGGTGTGGCTGAACCAAGGGCAGGCTGAAAAAGAATCCGAGTCTTACGTACATTCACCTAAAGCCCAAGTGTGCATATGCATCTGTGTAGGTGTTCAGGATCTCCTGTAGGTCGCGTTCAGTGTGAGCGACAAGGGTAAGGTCGTCTGCATACTGAAGTTCAGTAATGGAAGCTACCGACATCTTTGTTCCTGCCTGGAGTCGTCCTATGTTGAAAAGACTCTTCATCCAGTACTGGATGTTCACTCCGCCGGCTAAATTGGCCCTGCCACGAGTAAGGAAGGCAGCTAAGAAAATGGAAGAGAGAGTTGGTGCCAGTACACATCCTTGTTTTACCCCTGTTTAGATGGGGAAGAACTCAGACTGGGTGCCACTGTGCAGGACACTGCCATTCATGCCATCATGGAGTTGCGTCACAATGACAATGAATTTTGGTGGGCGGCCAAAAAGGCTGAGAGTCTACCAGAGGGCTTCCCTGTTGATCGAGTCAAAGGCCTTGGTTAGGTCGATGAAGGCCATGTACGGGTCACGACGCTGTTCTCTGCACTTTTCCTGTATCTGACGGGTAGCAAAGATCATGTCAGTGGTGCCACGTGATGGTCTAAAGCAACATTGAGATTCTGGGAGGAAGTTTTCCGCCTCAGGAAGAAGTCTATTATGGAGGACTCGGGAGATAATCTTGCCAGCCACGGACAGCAGCGAGATCCCGCGGTAGTTGTCATAGTCTGACCGGTCTCCCTTGTTCTTATAAATATTGACCATGGAGGCGTCTTTAAGAGCTTGGGGATTTCCTCCTTTCCCATACATTCTCCAGGAGAGAGTGGAGACAGCTGGTAAGCAGAGGTCCTCCTGCTTTATACACCTTGGCTGGGATTCCATCAGGCCCTGAGGCTTTGTTATTCTTCATTCTGTTTGACGGCAATAGCTACCTCATCCAGGGATAGAGGATAGCTGAGGCGAGTCAACTCTGGATGCTGAGGGACCTGCTGGGTAGTCAGGACATCCACATCGGTGTTTTGGTTGAGGAGCAAATGGTAGTGCTCTTTCCAGTGCTAAAAGATGCCAGGAGTGATTGGTCCATAAAGTGTTTTAGTGTAATAAAAAAATTTGCCCATCTTGTGTTGATCTGCAATAATTTTACATTTCACATTATTTACTTTTAAACCAGTCATTCTTTAGATTGCGACGTTTGCGCTTAACCGCCGCATTCTTCTTGCGGAAGGTATCAGCTTTGGCCCGAGACTGAGGGTTGTTCTGCCAGTCAGTTAAAGCAGCACATTTATCATCGAAGAGTACATTAATTGCCGGGTCATTTTCATCAAACCAGTCCTGGCGTATTCTTCGATCTGTAGGTTTTTGTCATGAGTGTCGAGAATACCCCATTCAGCACTGGGATTTGGGTTGTAAATTCTCAGGTTGTTCATCAGCCCATGTTCGAGCTGCTCTCTGAAAGCATGTACTACCACTGGATCCTCCAGATGCTGAGTATCAAAACCTCTTCTGGAGGCTTGTTGCCTTCGTCGTTTTGGGGTGACATGAAGTGAGAGCTTGGCTCTGACGGGCCGATCAGTGTGGCAGAGGTCTGAGCCACGCATGGCTCGAGTGATGCAGACATCTCGGCGATCTCTTTCTCTGACAATGAGATGCCAGTGTTTGAATCGTGGATGTTGCCACGAACCCTTCAAATTGTCAGCCTGCCTAAACAAGGTATTGGTGATAGGCTGTGTTCAGCAAACTTGCTGAGGAGTAAGCCGTTGGGATTTCACTTGCCTCGTCCATTTCTTCCTATGATTCACAGCAAAATGTCAGCAACTTTGGCATTGAAGTCACCTAGGATAGAGGTTAGCACTCTGTCAAGGTCAGCATAAAAGGCCTCCTTGATGTCATCCTCTGCATCCAGTGTTGGGGAGTATGCACTGATGAAGAAGGCGTGATCCGAGTGATTCAGTGGGACTTGGAGTGTCATGAGACGCTCGTTGATCCCAATAGACATTTCAGTTAGCCTGTGTAGGATGCGCTGACAGATGGCAAAGCCAACTCCATGAATGCGGTTTCTCTCCGCAGTAGGCTTACCCTACCAGAAGAAGGCACAGCCAGACCCCCATTCTGTGGGTTGACCCTTGTATGGGAACCAGGATTCACTAATGGCTGCTATATCGATGTTATACCTAGCCAGCTCTTTTGCCATAAGGGCAGTTCTTCTTTCAGGATGCTCATTTGTGCCAGTATCCAGAAGGGTCCTGACATTCCATGCAGCGACCATAAAGTGCAGTTGCCCAGTCAGATTGGTTCTTTAGGCAGGCTATATTTAGGGCACCTTTTCTACCCCCCTCCCCATGTGGGGTGAGCAGAGTGGCTCCTCGAGAGGGCTGCTCAGTCACACAGACAGAACCGGATTACACTGCTGCCTAGATCCCAGTACATAAACGTCCATCTTATTTATGCCGCCCATGTGCAGAGTTGTGACTAGAGACTCTCGGCAGTCATCTCTGCCTGTCCCCGTCGCCACTTGACTGTTGCCATAGGACATTTGGGGGTATAGGGGTTTTGATGATGATGAGAAGTATGAGCTGGGTGATGGCTGCGTGTGCTCGCGCACACACACACACATTTGGCAATATGAGGACCTCCTCTACATCACACTGCTTGGTGAACTTTCTGGATTTTCTGCACAAAAACTTGCAGAAACGTAAGACATCACTGGCCGTTGCCCTTGTGGACTTCAGGAAGGCCTTTGACCTTGTTGATCACTGCACTGTTATCAACAAGGCTATTGCACTAGGGCTGCCCACCAACCTGGTCTCATGGCTCACTGATTTCTTGAGTGGATGTCGCCAAGCAGTGATGTATCAGGGCTTGGTCTCTACATTCCATCACCTCACCTGCGGTGTTCCCCAGGGGACCAAGATGGGACCACTGTGCTTCCTCATCCTGATCAACGACGCTCTATCGGACACTCCTCACAGGTGGAAGTACGTGGATGACTGCACTGTGGGGGTTTCAGTGGACAACACCGCACCAGACTACTCATCGCTCCAAGGCACCCTGGACAGGCTACAGGCATGGACTACGGAGAACAAGGTCACCATCAACCACACCAAAACCGTAGTAATGCACATCAATACCGCCACCACTCCAGTGCAAGCCCCAGCAGTCACAGTGGGTGCCCATCCTCTCCAGCTGGTGCAGTCTGCCAAACTCCTGGGTGTAACTATAGACAACAAACTTGACTGGAAGGCCCATGTAAATAACACAGTCAAGGCAGCCTCGTACCGTCTCTACATGCTACGAAGACTTAGGTCACTTGGGACACCCACGCCAGAGCTGAGGACCATCTACAACGCCTTTATTCTCCCCAAACTAACGTATGCATCACCAGCCTGGTCGTCTTCTCTCAACTCCACCCAACAACGTCAGCTAGAGAAGGTAC